GAAGGGACCACAGGCCCAGTACTTTCACCTCGCACTCTTCCCAAGTGCAACATGAAAAACTCAGGCAGAGGGCCATCATCACTCACTGTCGTAAATAATAACTGCTAGCAAAGTTCTGGGAGCTTGGGAGGCTTTGTTACTAGTTAAGTACCACGAGAGCCAAGAATTAGTATGAGGCCAGACTGTATCTCTAACTCCCGAAGCTCGGTCTGTGTTTGTCCAGTGAATGAAGTTTCTCTGTGCTTCTGTAACTCTCAGAATTTTCACTTACACAGCATCTAAGCCGTCTGGAACAAACAGATCAATGGAGGGTAAGGTGTCATTCAACTCAATTTACAGGGCATAATGCATACATGTCTTTAAAGCAACAACATAAGGCAAGCCTTGCACTATGTTGTTATTAGCTCCTTGTACAGTCTGTCACCAGTGCCACTCCCTGTGCCCTTTAGACTGCAGAATGTACCACCATCCTGTGCTGTCTTAGCAAACAGTGGCACCTGACTGCCCAAATACGACTAGCATCGCCTCAGATCCCCTCTGCCACATGACCAAAACCATAGTGAGCATGCTTCCCTGCTTATGTAACAAGCACGCCCGGGGGATAAATGTATTATCGAGAGGGTATTACGACCCTCAAGTTCCTCCAAACCGTTCACTTTAAACTGTTTACTGATATGCACGTTTTGGGAAATTAAAAAAAAAAAATCAAATAACGCCTTTTCGAAGAGTGAAAGGCAACTTTTTTTTCCCCCCACAAAGGGGGTTTGTAAATGGCTTTTGAACGACGTAACTTTAAAAAAAAAATGCATGTTTCAAGCCCTGGTTACATTAGCCTCCGTCTTTCTCACCATGTAAAATCCACTAGTATAAAATCATTTCTTTTACTCCACATTTTGAAAGCAAAGTCCCAGTGTATTTTATCATAATTAAACAAATCCCTAGTTCCTCGTTGGTATAAATTAAATTTGCAAAACTCTGCGATGACAACGCGAAGGTGCAACCCTGCCCTTGCAGTCCACGACACCCGGCACCTCCGCTGGGCTCGCACCTTCTCCCCGCCCCCACGCCTGCCCCCACCCCTGCCCCCGCCGGGGTCTCCCCAGGTCCAGGCGCAGGGGCCCGCCGGGCTCGCAGCTCCGCCCCCAGGTTCTCCCGGGTGGCTGGCGACCTTCCCTGAGGCGGCGCCCGGCAGGGCTGCTGGAAACTGCTGCGTCAGGATGGAGCGAGGAGTCCCGAGGGTAGGAGCCAGCGTTAACTGAGAGGGATGACTATCCTAGGCCGGCCCGCTAGGGCGCAGCGGGGAAGGGTGTGGCGCAGCTGTCTGCCGAGCGCGTCCGGCGTCCCCGCCCGCTGCCCCGCCCCGACGCCTGATCCCCGATCCCCATCCTGCACTCCCTGGTCCCCGCGTCAGCTTTCCAGGGTCTGCGTCTGCAAAGACTCGGTCGCAGAGGCGCAGCGCGCACGCGCAGAAGGGCCGCGGTGGGCCCGCCCTCGCTCCGAGGCCTCCATCACGTGCCGCTCAGCGTGCGCCCCGACATGTGCGGACGCACGTGACTGCGCCGCGTCCGGCTCCGGCCGGCTCACCCCGCGCGGCTGTACTTTGAACCCAAGCGTGGGAGACCGGAGGAGGGAGGGGAGCAGGGCGCGCGCGGGGGGGGGGGCCTGGCCTCCGGGAGGATGACGTCACCTGCAGCTTTATCGCTAGGCAACCGCGGAAGGCTTCTGTCTCTCCGGCGCTGGAGCTCCTGGAAGCTCTGCAGGCTGCTGACATTACCCCCGCCCTTGGGTCCCTCAGCCGGCGGCGCTCAGACGGCGGCGAGGGAAGAAGCCAGGGTTGGTTTATCAGTGTTGAAAGGGTGAGTTACAGAGCTCAGCATCCGCTCACCGTTGCACTCACACACTCACTTGTGTGTGCTAGGGCCTTCCGGGGCGTGGGCACCTACAGTCAGGGGTCTTCACCTGCTCAGTCACAGGCAATCACACAGCCACCTTATGTCTAGGCAGACAGGCCTTGCTGGAGATGGCAATGCTTGGAAAATGAGGGTATAACAGAAGGATAATCCATCCGGTGTCCTTATCCTGCCCCTTATTGGGGTTTTCTGGAGGCTGTGCATGGTTGGGGCTCCAGAACTTGAATCCAAGCTGGCCCTAACGCTAATTTTACAGTCACAGTGAGGAAGCTGGAAAGCCGCATAGGGAAGCAGAATTTATTATAGAACTCTCTGGTGGATACTTAGTACCTCTGTCCTAAGCACATAATATTCTCTGTGCACACCCATAAGGGAAAGGTTCCAACACTGAAACCCTACCTAAAGTTCACAACGCCCTAAAAATACACTATATAAAAAGTATAGCGCGTGACCCTCTTTCCTGCTTGTCCAATTCTGCAGGTTTCTACTTGTTCAATTCTTCCCAGCTTCCCAGGTCATTTTGGACCCGCCCTCTTGTTTTTGGGGAACTCGGAGCTCAAGGGTGACCACGCAGGAACAGAGTGTAAAAAGCTCCCCCAGATCATGCTAAGACTGTGAAATCAGGAGGGTGAGTTTCTGAGTTTCTGTCGCCAACCTGAATAAACAGCAGCATAGTATGGTCTTTTGTAGAAGACTGAAAATTATTTCCCCAGAATGCCATCTCTTACGAGCATTGAATGTTCTGTGCCTAATTTAGAAAGATTATTTCCACAATAGTCTTTCCATTTCCATCAGTGACTACTGTGGGTCCTAGGACCTCGTGTGGACCAGCTCAATTCATTCCATGAGAAAACCGCTGCGGTTTTTTCCCCTCCTTCTTACTAAAATTCTTGTAATAATCTGAGCACTAGACTAAGAACCAACAGATCTGATTTGTCTGCTTCCTTTACTGAACTACGGTGACCCTGCCTCAGTTTCCTCCCAGAGGTTTGGCAGAAGACACGGTTTAAGATGCCTTGTTTCCTGCTAGGGCTGCTCTTCCACTCATTTCCCCTTTGGGTGCTAAGTGGAGAACAGAGGTCATCACCTGGCTTCATTTGTAGAACACATGCATAGAGGAGGTGACACAGAGCTACTTGGGAGGTATCCAGTTCGCCTGTCTCCCCAGCATAAGATGCTGTAATTGTGGGATAAATGCTCCCCTAGCCCCTCTCACACCAAGAAGTGTGGGTTCCCAGTCTCAGTTCACAGCTGAGATCTTCAGGAGCAAATGCGGGTGAGAGCCAGTTGGGCAGTAAAGTTCTAAAGAGATGGAGAAGTTAAGAAGTTCTTGCTCAGACCACAGATCAAATATAACAGATAACACAAATTTTCCAGCAGTTTAGTAGAGGATGCACCTTGTCCTCGGATCTGACCCCTTGCATTCATTGTTGCATGCATTTGGTAAACCCATCCTTTTCTTTGGGCTTTCTCTTTCCTTTTCTCTGGGCTTTCTCCAACTCCACCTACAGGAAGCTGGCAGCTTCTGTCCCCACCCAGCATTGTGTCCACCCCTGCATAGCACACACTGCACCATGAGTTATTTTTGTATAGCTCTGTTGCCCTCATGAGACTTTGAGATGTTGAAATTAATGTCATGCTCCAGCACTCACTGCAAAATCTTGCATAGGATCTGAGCAAAGCAAACATCGGGGGCTGGGCATATAGCATCAGTGATAGAGCACTGTCTAGCATGTAGAATCCCCAGAAACCCTGGTGGGGAGGGAGTGGGGGGAGGAAGGGAATTCTTGTGTCTACGGTTTATTGCATTTGTTGGCAGTAAGCAATGTTCTGCAATTGATGGCTTTGAAACCTCTCCGAGCAGTTTTGCACTGGGTGTGTCTAAATACAGAGGCAGCATCCAGGCCTCCACCCTGCTACTTCACCAGAATGCTTTCTTTGCTGGCACCCAAGATGTCCAAAGCCCAGGATGGGGAGAGGTGACACACCTGAAGCACCTGCCAGGGTCATCCATGAGTCAAAACACCCAATTGATTTTTATTAATTCCCTCAGTCCCCTGGTCTTGTTAGCATAAGTGTTCATCCAATTAAATGCATTACTTCTGACATGAAAATTTATTATTAGCTGTAGGCTAAAACAGTTAGCAAGCTGCTTTTATGTCTGTGTAACACACTGGTGGAGAAATACATGAGTATTTGAAGCTTTTGAATAAACAATCTGTGAAACATGGAGAATCTGAAAGTTAAAGGAAATAAAGAAGAGTGATGAGAAAAAGTCACAGAGGCCACAAGCTCACACAATTTACTTACAAAAGAGCTTCTTGGCTTCCCTGAAGCGGCTCACTCTAATTTTAGACACATTTTAAATGGGTGTGGCTTTGTTTAAATGGTCTCCCAGCCACAGTAAGAGGCAGAACAGGAGATGAGAGTTGGAGGCAGCACTCTAACTATCAAGAAGTGACACCTGACAGCCAGGCAGTGAGGAAATAAAATGAAAACCCTGCAAAAAGCAGATGTAAGAATGAAGTAACAGTCTCATAGGTGCATATACTCCCAGAAGAAACACATGGTACAAAAGTGACGTTTAGAATAGGAGCCTTGAATTGTTGAGAAAAATTTAATTTGTATAGGTTCTTTTTTTTAAAGTCTTGTGTGTGAGACACTTTAGAGGATGTCGAGAATACATTGTATGTTATCTGCTAAAAATTTTAAAAGGAAAACAGCATTAGAGCTTGAAAGTAGACACTTCAGTTTGCTGGACTGTTATTTCATGGAGGGTGTCACTGAGTTTAGAACTTTAAAATGTCAGCCTTTAAAAAGTAAAATCTTACATATTTTGTTAGTTTTCACTAAACAAAGTTCAACAAATACAATTTGAGGACAAATATACAACTCCTTGAATAGCATGTTTTTAAAGTACATGCGCTGCACATGTTTTTAGTATAAATCCCATCTTAATCACAGAAAATATGTGATAATTTTCTGTGTCAATCCCCTACTTAAATTCTCTCGTGAGAAGCTGGAGCTGATATTGGATTTCAGTATGCACTGGAAATCCATTTTGAACTTACTTAAAAGAACACAATGAGAAACAATGAATGAGTTTAAATGTATTGATGATCCAAAAGATTAACAAGATTTTTTGAAAAATTAAAATATCAGGTTGCTATCTGTATCACAGTAGTACAGCCAGCTTTTGGCATGCCAGTGGCTTTAATTCATTCAGGAGAACTCTGTTCATTTATCCAGGTAAAACGCGTTGCCCAGCCATGTACTTGCCAAGGTCTCCAGTGATCATTATTTTCATAGAGAGGTCAAGAATTGACCCGTGACATGAACAGAAAAAGGCAGTGTCTTTCAGTGTAACTTTTGAACAGATCCCAGGTGACAGGTAGTAACCAGTTATGGCCTGCATTCTCAGTTACAGAGAACTAAATGAAAAGTAGTTTCATACTGAGAGGAACCAAAACTGCAAGCATATTTACATAGCCATAGTTTGCAGTGCCTTGAAAATGCACTTACATTTAGTTCTTTGAGGAGAGGTGAAAAAGTCTTATCAATTCAGTACAAAGTTTGCTGAGAAACAAACATACTTAAAATTAATTGGAAGAATTCCATAGTTGTAAGAGCATTATTAATTTAAGTCATATTTGTCTTAAGTTGGAAAATCATATCTTAAAAGTAATTTAGCTGGTTTCACCTTTGCAGATAAATTATGACTTATGACTTATGAATTATGACAGCAGCCTTTCTATTCATGAAGGGACCAAAATATTTTAGATGCAGTGTTACTTTGCATTTGTGTTGTAACTTTATCTTATTATCATGTTTTTAGATAGACATTTAGACTAAGTAGCTGTCCTAATCAATCTGGCCCAACCCTGAAGTTTTCTACTTTAATGTGCCAAAATTAAACAAATGCTAAAACACTTTTATCTTCTGATTTACTTTCTTTTTTGTTCATAAAAATTGACATTAGTATGACAATAAAATGTAGCCCAAAATATTGAAAACATTTTCCCCTCTTTTTTCTGATTTAAATGAATATACTCCTTTTCTAAAGTTTAATAAATTAATGGTTCTCAAACATCCTAGGATTTTTGAGGGTTAATTTGTATTTATTTTGATGGTTTATTCATTAAGTTTTATGAGTGCTGCCCAATCCAATTCAGCTTCCTTGGTCTGGGATGCTGCGGTGGGAAACAGTTCACTGATTGAAGAATAGAACAGTGTGTGCTCCATGAGGCTGTACCCTTGAGAAGCTACTACTGTCTCTAGGCTTCATTTTCCTCCTCTTGTAAAATTCAAGCAGTGGGGCAGCTGATCTCTGAAGTTCTTTCAGGCAAGCTAGTCTGTCTCTGCAGTTTACATGCCACAAAGTCAGCAGAGGGAGCACTTTTTCTACATCTTATAAATTTTGACTATCATTTAAACACCTTTTAAAAATAGAGAACACTCTTAAAACTAAAAAAATAATGGACAGAGTCTCAGTCTGTTTCTAATCAGTGATTTGATTATAAATTTGAAAACAGTCTACACATTGTTTCTTGACTTCCACGGTAAAATCCTATGACAACAATTATTTTGTAAAAGTCAAGTCAATAACCTCACGGAAGTTCAGCATCCCTAGATGGCAGTGTATCTAACCAGGACCCCAGTAAAAGAAAATCACCAGACCACGAAGGAGAGGCTATCTGATGTCACAGAAGTGACAACCTCATCAATCAGAAAAACAGTAAATTGGATCTAGCATAAACAAACCACACAAATGATAGGTAAGTTTTTCTTTTGTACTTTTCATTAGGATACATTGGAAACAAGCAGGTAACCATAGCCGGAGCCTGAAGGCAAGAGATTGGACATGTGTGGTACCAGTCCAATGACAAAAAGGTGTTTATCTGAGAACCTTAATAACTTCCATCCTCATAGTCATAGACATTTAAAGCTAATTGAGCAGACATTATATATTTTTTAATTATTAGACAATCTTGTATCATATATAAAGTTTTTATTCCTTAGTAAGAATTTTTAAATCACAAAATAGTGTGGCAATATTTAGGCAATAGAATTTATGGAGTGCTGAAAATACTAGAATATAAAGATAATTTCTAGTTTTATCTTTACATACTAAACTTTTCTAAACCAGCTGGTTTCTTGCAGACAGTATTTATTTACTTTTAATAATTTAAGACGGCATAAGCTTGTACCAAGCATAAGCATTGTAACAAAAGTGCAAACGTTTCAGCAAATCTTCCCCAAAAGATAGTTTAACTCAAAATATCATTAGCACATATTTTCTCCCTACAAAAATAGCATGTCAGACATCATTAATTGGATGTATTAACAACTATGTACATAAAAGCCACCTTGTAGGCTAAGAGTTGAACGTTGTTTAAACACAGCGTTTGAGGCAAACAGTAGCAACAGCAGCAGCAAATGCACCACACTGACTAAAAGACCCAGATATTTTCTTCCCCCATAGACTGTTGTGTCTCACCCCTTACATAACATTCAAGTGAGATTTCTCACAGTGCTACCTTGGCAACAAACTAAAAATATCTAGACAAGGTCTTGGTGTAAGCCTTATTTAAAAAGCTTTCTTGGTGATTATCTGGCATCTGGTTTGGTCTCCAGAAAATACATGGGCTTGGAGATAGAAGGCCACACGGCACTTCGTTCCACATCTGCACAGCTTCCCTGATCAAAACCGACCAGCTAAATGTTTCCTTCCACTTTATGATCTAACAAGGAAAGAAAAGATCAGTCAGAATAAATCAGTTTGGACTTTTGTTTTCTTAACTTCAGTGCACTTTTTTTTTACAGTAAGTTTATAAAAATTTGGGAATGATATTTTAAATAATGAATGGGAATAGATGCACTTGAGATGCATATACACTATATATATATTTGTGAACCAAGAAATTAATACAAGTCAATTGATTTATGGTCAATTTCATCATAAAGTGCCAGCAAAGATAGGAAAAAGGATTCTGGCCTCCCTCATCCGCCTCAGCCTCCGTATCCTGCCTTAGTGCTTAGTAGAGTGGCCCAACTCCCTGTCTTCTGGAAGCGAGTGTAAGTTACTAACAGCATTTCAGCCACTTCAGAATAGGTCACAAAGCAGCCAACTACACCTTCACTTCTCTGAAAAATACATGCCTTCCGAAAAGATGACCATTATGCAATGGTGTGCAGAATAAATCAATACTCAAAGCTCCTCGAATCTGTCAGAGGACTGCCTTCTGAACCAGGCAGGGCGGCTCAGAGACACAGCTCTGGGTGACTGCTACCTGCTGTTTCCGGTCACTGCCAGTGCTGTCCCAGACATGAACGCCTTTTCAATGAGCTCACCCCTGCACCGAGCCAGCCACCTTTCTGACTTCCTCTGGTATTAAGCTCCCCATTTTAAAAGTCCCTGGAACGTGGCCTAAAAGGAGGCAGAAACTTATCTAGGGGGTTAAACAAAGAAAAGAACCGGTATCTACTGCAGAGGATGCTTTATAGCTGGGGTGGGGGGAAGGATCTTAGTGTGCGGAGGGTGGGGTGGCGAGGAGATGAGCAAAAACGGGAACTCCAAATGTACACAAACACCTGTCTTTTTTTCTCTTAAGCCTGTCGTACATCTATTACGCTTCCTCCCTTAGAAACGTTAAGGGTGTTTTTAACTTATTAATATTATTCCGCCAGGGGCCTCCGTCCTTTCTAAGGAAGGGGCGCGAGGACTCAGGGGGCGTCCTTTCCAGGCTGCGAGGCATCTTCCTGAGCGGAGCTCTCCGGGTTCCCCGGCTCGCGGGGGCCGGCGAAGGGCAGGTGGGTGCGGCTGTGCGCGGGCGCGGGGTGCAGCGGCCCGGGGGGCGCCACCTCGTGCGGCAGGAGGGTCGCGGCTGCGCCCGCCTTCTCGGGAGGGGGCGACAGCACGGAGGACAGACAGGGGAAGGCGGCGGCGGCGGCTGCAGCGGCGGCGGCGGCGGCTGCCGCTGGGGCGGGGATGCCGGGGTACAGCAGCGGGAACGGGGCGGCGGCCGCTGCGGGGTACAGATACTTCTCCAGGCCGCTCTTGTCCAGGAAGGGCTGCACGTAGGCGGCGGCGGCGGAGGGCGAGAGGAAGTAGAAGGGCAGGCAGAAGGGGGTGGCGGCGGCCGGCTGCGCGAAGGGCGCCACCAGCGAGCCGAGCAGGGCGGCGTCGGGGCGCAGCAGCGCGGCGGGGTCGGGGCCCAGGAGCGCGGTGGCCGCAGGGCCGCCTCCCGCCCCGCCGCGCGCGTCCAGCTTCATCCTCTTGGGCGCCGGCGAGTCCTCCCCGGGCGGCTCCTGCTTGACCGTGACGCGGCTCGCCCCCGCGCCTCTCCCCTGCTCGCGCTCCGGCCGGGCCTCGGCCTCGCCGCCGTAGCCGCTGTCAGTGTCCGTGTCGTGCTCGGCGGCGAGCTCGGCGCCGGGCTGAGTCCGCTGGATGACGGGCACGCAGTGGGCGAGGGGCTCCAGCTTCTGCCCTGCGCGCTCCAGGGACCCCACCGGGGCGGCGGCCGAGGCAGCGCCACTGCCTTTGCTCAGAGGGACCTGTTGAGTCAACAGCTGGGGGGTGGGCAAGAACTGGGTGGCGACGGCGTGCAAATGGTTGATCAGCTGGACACACCGCGGCTCCCTGGGTGTCCAGCTCTCAAACCGTGCGAGGTATTGCAAGACTTCTTTGGCGCATGTTTGAAATCCCGAGTGGAAAGCATCCAAGTCGGACTGAATGGGCGACTTCAGAGATCGCTCCCCTGGGGTGAACAAGGGGTGGGGGTGGGAGGCCGAGGAATAGAGTCAAGAAGAAAAATACCGACGTTAAGACATCTGCTTATCACGTGGGCCCTGCACTGACTAAAGTGCTCTCGGTTTTTCCTTAGGATTCCAGTGATATAATCCACCGGTTGCCGGGAGGGGAGGGGGCCGAGGGGACAGGGAGCAGTGCGGAGAAGGGGGCGCTCTTCTCCCAGCTGAAAAACCAAAGTGGAGAGGGCGCAACCGCCACTTTAAATATAAATCTGATTCTCCCGAGTTCTGCCCACAGCCTCTAGGATGCTTCGGGAAATGGGCATTCTCCAATGAAGGGAAAGTACACGCAATTTTCACAAGTGACAGTGAGCCCAGGAAAGGGGGGAGGTTTCCTAACACAGTTACCCTGTGGGCTGCCCGCTTCAGGGTAGGCTGGCTTCCCTGAACTGACTTACCATTCTGTAAAGCAATTATCTTCTGATGCTGCTGCTCGGTTAAGGCTGTTAAAGCTTTTAAGTGTTTCAAAGTTAATTCCAAGACTACTGCTTTCTCCAGATGCCCAAGTGTCTGCAGTGTGCAAAAGAGAAGGGGGCGCTTGGTTACTTAGAAACACATTTGGCTTGATTGGCTCTCCATTCAGCACAGCAACTTAGGCAAACACTTTGAAAGAAGTACTATTCTTAACACTTTTTGAGCTTTCCTCAAGACAGGGTCCTAAATGATCTCTTGCCCCAATTCTGAGTCTGTGGGAACCTGTACATTATAGCACAAGTTGTAAGTCAAGCCTCTAATATTTACATTTGTTGCTGTATCTCTGGGAGTCCTACCAGGCTATTAACACGTCCTTGGAGAGCAGCAAAGAATGAAAATGTGCATCTTACTGTCAGTTTCAGATGTTCAGGCAGTAAATCTTTCAGCTGTGCAATGCATTCATTAATTCGGTCTCTTCTTTTCTTTTCTATTAATCTGTGCGGTAATTTGTAGGTATCCTTAATATGTGAGTGATGGGAAAGAGAAAACAGTCAGCTGAACATTCACTTAGCGGCTGTAGTCTCACCCCCTACCCCATACTATGTGATAAACTATGCCCAAGAAACCTCTTTGCTCTGGACTGTTCTGAACTGCAATTTAAATTCAGGTATGATGTTTAATATCCCCCTGAGAGTATCCAAGCAAGCTGCTTAAAATTCACAGTTGGAGAAGCTCAGGGGCTAGAATATATTTGCGCGCAGAGCTTCACTGTGAAATCAATGGCCCTAATTAACTATCCAGGCAAGGTATGGGAAACGTCAGAAACTTACACTTACCTTGCTGTCGTCTCGCTTCATGCTCCTTTTGGGTTTACACAGATACAAAGAGGAATAGTCCAATCTGCAACATAGAAATCAGCATCAGGCACCCATTCCGGGAGGGGCTCTGCCCTAACCCGCTCCGTATCACTTTCTGGAGGAAAAAAAAAAAATCAAACCGGAGCCCAGGCAGATATTCACAAGGGTGCGTGCACCTTACCCTATAAAATCTCTATGTTCCAGTAACTGTCTCTCTTGCAAATGAGGAATTCCTTCGTCCATGTTCAATCGCTGTCCGTTTCCTCTGTTTCGATTTTTGGGGCTCTGCTCTATAATCTGCGGGACGGTAGCCTTGGGAGATCTTGGGGGGAATCTGCGTCTCCAGTCTCTCTCTCTCCCTCTTCAGTGCAGTGTTGAAAGTGTGAACCAGTTGGTCCCCCGCCCCCCCGCGCTCGCTCGCACACACGCGCGCGCACACACACACACACACACACACACACACACACACACACACACACACACACACGCTCGCGCCGGCCCCGCTGCGCTGGTAGTTTGCTCTCACTCGGGGCAGTGTTTGGCCACAGGGCACGCGCGTCGCCGGCCAGACCAGCACCCAGCTCACGTGCGGAACGTACCATCCGCGGTCCAGCCCGGAGGGGGGCGGGGGAGGAAGGCCGGGCCGGGAGGGGGCGTCGGGAGCAGGGGAGCGGCGGAGTGGGCGGGGACACCTGATCAGGGCCACCGGAAAGGAAAAACAACTTCAGCCAAGCTATTCATCTTCCAGAGGCGACTGCGGGGGGAGGGGGCGCCGGCAGCGGGGCAGCCGGGGCTTCCTGGGCTCCGCCGGCCGTACGGTGCGGAAACGAACGTGGCTTGTTGCTTTTCCACCGCCTGTGCTGTTGCTTCGGACCCGAGAAAGGAAAGAGAGAGAGCCTTCGCCTTGGGTAGACTGAGTCCCAGGAAACTGTGGAGACTTGTTTGCTCACCGTGGCTCAGTGCCCCGGGAGAGGAGGACCCCCTTGGAGCTGGGATTGAAGGTTAACCCCCCCCCCCCCCCGGCAACTTGAAATTCATTCCCTGGAGGATGTAAGAGCAATGAAAATGTAGTCACTGGGTTCCAAATGTCGCATTCCAAGTGCCTCTCGCCGACACCGTGTCCCTGGGTCACCTAAACTTCCCGCAGCAGCCGGAATTGCGGTGCCACTAATCACTGTGGCAGATGACGACGTTTTGGGGCCTCTCGGGCTCCCGGAGGAACGCGAGGGTGGGGAGCGAGCGGGGGTGGGGCGGAGAAGGAGACTGGGGTGGCCCGAGAGGGGCCGCGGCGGAGAGGCAGCGCCGCTCTCCCCGCCCGTCCGCTCAACTCCGCGCCCCTCCGCTCCTCCGGTACGCCGCGTTCTGCTCCGATCCCCACCCCCTCCCCCCAAGCCGCATGCGATAAGCCACGCCGGGAGTGTGTCGAGCCCACGTTTACTACCGCTGGCACCTCCAGGGCCTCCCTCCTTAATCCTGTCTCAAACGGGTACCAGCACAGGGCCAGCAACGTGATCCGACCTGCGCCGCTGCCACATCACTGCGCGGGGAGCCCGTGCGCGCGCGCGCTCGCTCGCCCTGCACCGCGGCGCCCGGCGCGGGGAAGCACAGGCCGGCACCGGCCCGGCCGCTTTTCCCCAGAGCCACCTCGGAGCATGACTCATCGCCAGTGAGAGTGCCCGGGAGGCGTCGGGAGAGCCGCACTGCTCGCGCCGCCCTGGGCAGCGGTGGTGCGGTGCGGCGCGGGGCTGGGCTGGGAGGCCGGGAACAGCTAGTCCTGCGGGACTCCCGGGTCTGCAGGCGCCACCTGGGTCTGCCTTGGGTGGGACAGAATAAATAGACTCCTAGAGCCAAATAAACGTACAGAAGCCAGGCTTTCCTTGCAGGAGCAGTAATATTTACATTCTCTGGGTGATCTCGGAAGCATTAATTACTGCCAGGGGCACGTGTGCTCGGGGAGAAGGAGCTCTGTGTACGCTCACAGGAGCGCGGCGGGGACAGGGGGCGGTCGCGACGTGTCCCCGGCCCGCCCTGCTGGGTGCGGGTTCCGGGGACGGATCTGGGTCGCGGCGGGCGGCCGGAGGGGGGGATCACGTGGCTGCGGGCGTCGCGTCTCCTCCCGCCTCCTGGAGCCGCTCGCCTGCTGCAGTCTCCCGAGTCCGGGCGCCGCTTCTAGCTTCGTGACTCGCGCGGCGGCCGCGGCCCAGGCTCACCCCGGCAGGAGGAGCCGCCCAGGGCCAGGTCGATTCCCTGGACCCCTTAAGAGGACCCTTTCAGATCTCTGGACTTCCTCAAATTGGGGGGACGTATGTTGTGCTAAATAGACAACTTAATAGTAATAATACTGAAAAAGCATTTTTACAAAAAATGATTTTTAAATTAAAACCTCGATCTGACCTCTTTTTTTTCAATTGAATTTTTTTTTTTTTTTTTTTTTTTTTTTTAGATGAGGAAGGCAAGTTGGAACCCTAGCACGTTGTATTCCTGCAGTAATGTCTCATTTTCTCCCTCTTACCTTTTAAGACCCAATGTGGTGGATGGGAGGACTGTTAAGATAAATATTTTAATAATTAAAATAGCAGGTTTCTTTACAAGTTTCCTGATGTTTGGAGTAGGGTGTAAATACATACTCCAGAGCTAAATTTCACTTGAAGACGGTGTCTAGAATATTCAGTGAAAATAAAATAGAGATTGGATCACTGCATTTTGGCCCTGTGGGAAGAGCTGAGGAGACATAGGCAGACATCTGACCTTAGAGACTAAGCGATCTGGGCAGTCAGTAAAGCAATTTAATACTGGAGATTCCAGGACGGGAACCTTGAAGGTCAAGGGCAGGTTAAGTGAGTATGTAAACTTCCCGTCATGTCATTTAGAGACATGGAGGATCCTGCCAATGAGGTCTTTTTCTAGGACCACTTTTTTCTCCTCTCTCTTTTCTCCCTCTGCCTCAAGGTTCCCTGTTTCAATTGCCAGAAATTTTGTTTGCTCTGCTGTGCCCTCTTTGCCTTCCTAACACCCAGCTCAAGCTGAAAATGGGCTCTTTTAAAATTAAATTTTTATATGATCTGTTACTCTTGATTTTACTTTTTCTCTTTCATGTCCCCTTACTCCTCTTCTTTCTCCGATTTTTCCTTATGTTATCCTCGCTGCCTTTTCCCGGTTGAATGTCTGCTTTTGCCCTTTCCCTATAGCTTTTGTTCCATTTCTTGTTCGTGTCTTGTCTTTTTCCTTTGCCCTTTCAACTGGAGACACTTTTTGCCCACTCACGTCCTTTAAACACCAGCCCTGCTACTTTTTATCAGGATTTTGCCTGCTTGATGTCAGGCCGATTTCATTGCCTCTGGATGCCCCTTTACTCCAAGGAGGGCATAAGGATTGGTAACCTGGCTTTTAGGTTCACAGCTGGGTTGCAGACTCGACTCTAAGAGCTTTTCCTGCATTAAGTTATTACTCATTTCCACAGTCCGGTAAGGCAAATACCATTACTATCTGCACTGGGCAGATGAGAAACTGCTTACATAGTGAGATTACAGTGTGTCAACGATCCCAGAGCCAGGGTTTAAACCCAGGCACTGTGCTCCAGAGGCTTTACCCTTTACCCCTGGACGTGAATATGGGGGTGAGGTCTACACAGTAGTTCATTGCTGCTGGGGTACTTCTCTGTTTAACAGTGTGAGTGTACACATTTGCTCTACATAGTAGTTCATTGCTCCTGGGGAGTTTTCTGTTTAACAGCATGAGTAAACACGTTTGCTGTGGACACTTTTGGAAGAAAGATGGGGTAGAGAGAGAGGTATTAGGGGAGTTGATGGCAGAGAATGGAAAAGGTGCGACTGAAGACAGGCAGCAGTCCTTTGCCATGTTCGTGAGTCAGTCATTTGGCATCTAGCTACACATTTATTGACTTAAATGCAAATATTCCACTTACAGTTACACATTTAAACAGATATGCACATGGAAGTTGAGTTTAGAAAGTTGAGTTTAGAAATTGAGTTTAGAAAAGGCTGATGGTACTGGACTCTTCTCAGTCGTCCCTGAAGAAACCAAGCCAAACTCTAATTTGAAGGATTACTAAAGAAGAAAAAGGTCACCTGTGTCGAGCTCAGAACAGGAAAAACCTCCCCTGTCTGACAAAGGAAAAGGAACTGAGCTGTCTTCACTGGTTATGTTTAAAAATAGGTGCAGTCTTATCTTTTTAGGAAGGCTTTGTGCCACCTTGCTGAAAGCCAGGAAGATACCAAAATGCACACAAAGGCCTTTTTACACTTAAAATTAAGTAATTCTGTGATGCTTTGCTTCCAATTAGAGACACCCACCTTGCTCTTGCTTTTCTTTGGTTAAGTAGGGGCATGACTACTAGAGAGAATAAAAGGGAGTATTTGGCCCAGTGTTCCCCTTCCACTTAAGAACTCTAAGCCCACACTCATTCTGTTCACCTGTGGCTTTGGACGATCTTGTCCTGTTTGCTTGCGGTGTCTTCATTTCTAACATCAACAGAACTCTCAGGAAAGGGTTACATTTCCATTCAGGGTAGAGGTTTTCTGGCTCTCAATGGCTCTGCAAATCCCACTGCTCTTCTGGAAAGGGGACTCTTGAGTGTTTGGGACTCCAGGCCTGATCCAAACCAACAGCACCTCTAATGGTGACCCAGTGCCACCAGGATCTGGAGCCTCCTGCCTGTGGCGCCATGCAAATAACCCTCCAGATGCCTTTATTATGGGCCTGGAGTCAAACCCAGGGCCTTAAGTATGCTACGTGGGTGCGCTGCTATCACACCATCCTCTCTCCTTTCTAAACCACTCTCCTGATTTGAGCAGTAAATAAGAATCTATGCCATTCTACATCGCTTTACAACCAATAGGAGATCTAGCCTACTAAGCAGAGTGCATAAAACATCTAGCACTGTTTCGGATGGATGCAACACTCAAAGCCTGGAGTGGAATTCCTTCGCTTGGCAAGCACACTTGCTCTCAGGGGACAAGGGTTAATGCGACAGGCACACCACAGCAAGAAAGGTACCTTCCGAGAGAAGGAACTTAGGAGGGAGGGAAACCCCACCGCTGCTCACCAGAAGCCAAATATGACTTTAGAATATTGATGATGTTATTTGCTGAAGGCACTGGATTTAGAATCCTGAAATAGAAGGTTAGGTTTCCCAGTTGCTCGGTCAGCACATTAACAGCAGCAGCCCAAGTGTCTCCTTTTAATTTGCAAAATAACTTAAGTCTTCCTGTAGATCACTGATTAATGTGTCTTTGCAGTCACACACACACACACACACACACACACACACACGCATAACATTTTATATTTATGTGGCACCACTCAAGACCATTATACATGTATTTGTTTTTGCATATAAGAGCAGGTAATAGTATCGGAAATTAATTTGATATGCCTGCATCGTTGTAGTTTCATATTTATGTGATTATTGCAAAGCACTCATGCAGGCTAGTCTGAACTTAATGTGTCCTCAGTGTTCCTGGAGTCCTTAAGATATACAGGACAGCGGGGGAGAGCCAGGCCTATAGGGGGTCCTCCTGAAGCTTTGTCCCTTGTCTGCTTGGTCTCTTTTAGTGTCGGTGGGCCTCTGTCACTGATCCAGAATGCCACCAGGAAAGGAGAGTAAAAAGATGATAAACCTATAAGGATCCCACAAATCATGCCTGCTCTTTTCTGGATTAGCTGGCTAATGAAACTGAGAAAGGCTTCGAGAAGAGGGGATCTTTTAACTTTCTTATTTTCTTTGTTTCTGCTGATGAACCCTTGGAAAAAGCTTCAAAGAAAAACATGTTACGTAATGTGAAGTACACTCAATAAGAATAAAATGTGCTACACAGCCACTTCTCTCTCCCCCCTGCTATGGCTTCAGAAAATCCTAGAATCAATTGTAGGGTGATGTCCTTGTGGTAGGAAGCTACTGATTGATTCTGTAGTCTTTTATAAAGACTTTTATAAAAGACTTTTGCCTTTTATAAAGGCAAAACAAAAATGAATTAGGGAGGGTGAAGGTGTACTGAGAAATGGGGTCTACAATTTATTCAACCGTTGAAGCAAGAATTCATATGTAATAATTACCCATAAATTTAGTTCTGATATTAATCTCTAATTTCTACTCTTAGAGAAACCGATGAAAATTTATGCTACATAGCCGTTGAGAGCTGTATTTGAGCCCGAACATCGGTAGCTGAAATACGTAACGAATTTCTTCTTTGATCGTGTACAAGTAGTCAGAAGGGAAGGAGTCTAGAGGTAGCTTGAAGTAGCAATAGTGTCATCAGTGTCCAGATTTCTGCTTTTCTCTTCCTCTCTCCTCTGGCTTTCATCCTCATGATTGCCTCATGGTGATGAGATGGCTGCTGTGACTCTTGGGGAAAGATAAAAGGGGGTCTGCCACTGAGCAAAGTCCCTTTAAGGAGCTTTTCCTGAAAGGACTTCGGCTTGCATTTTATTATCCAATCGTATTACAGAAGAGTCAGAAATAATTGCCAAGCTGAGGTTCCTCAGCAACATGGCGTTTGTTTGTTTGTTTCTGGGAGCAGAGAATGGGCTGGCTACAGTCATCTTTGTAGTGGTGTTATTAAAGGAGGTGGCTTAGTCAGGCCCTCTTCTTCATCAGTATCTTTTTCTGCCCTACTGTGTAACATGCATTGGCAGCGTCTCTTTGCTGTATTACACCAGGGCGCTTCCAATTTCAGAAAATGTTCAAACTTTCCGTCTGCAGTTGTACAACCTTAACTAATAACTCCTTACGCCCATGGCCTTTAACATCTGTATTTCTAGGTTCTAATAATTACAGAAATCTGCTCAGAGAGGAAATGAACAGGGCTGGCCTCTCTTCCTGTCGCATGCAGACTGCAGCTGTGTGCTTTC